TGCGGAGGTTAGTGACACTATGTTTTGTCATCGTGGACATGGGTAAGCTCTCATGTTCTTGGGAGAAATACCTGGGTGCCCCATTGCTCTTTGGCTGGTGTGGGTGGCCCTGGGTGGGCTTGCTGGTACGCTGGCTAGTGTTCTCTGACCCTGATGGGTGCACTGGGGTATACTGGAGCTCCTTAGTTTGAATGGGTGACCTTGCCAGGCTTTCTCTTTCCTCTTTCCTATAGGCAGAGGATCCTCCTGGATCTTTGCTTCCCGTGAATGGGGGATGGTTTGGTGGTGATTGGGAATTTTCATTCTTACTATATTTGGCTATCCTGGGTTTCTGCATTCTCTGGAGGTTCCATGTGTGTCTCTTCCCAGATCAAGGCAGTTGCATGGGCTGCACATATAGCTCCCATCTCTAGGTGTGCTACCGCAGAGGGCAGGGTAATTCCTCCTGTGGACTGGGCCACTGGGTCACGGGTCTGTGCTTGCTTATCAATTTCTGTAGGCTCTGCTGGTAACCCTCCTTTTGCCAATACAGTTGAGTGGTTGGTGGGCCACCTGCATAGCAGCTGTGGCTGCTGTGGCCATGGTGGCGGCTGTTGTGGCAGTGGGCTGCCCTATGGCAGCAGTGACAGCAGGCTGTCCTTATGGCAGTGGTGGCTGTGGTGGACCACCTGCATGGCAGTGGTGTTTGTGGTGGCAGTGGGCTGCCTGCACAATGGTACCCTGTGGTCTTGCTGTTTATTGGCAGGGGCTGCCTTCTGCTCCTGAGGTCCCCCAAGACCGTTGAATTTGAGTTCCATTTGTTCATCAAGTGGAGCTGTGTAGCAAATGACAAGTTTTAGGTCTGGGAGCTCAGTGAAAAGGTCAGGGCTAGGGATAGCCATCAGAATATATGTGGTCAGGAAGCTGGAAGTGGGGTGGAGCTCACCCAGGGAGAAGATAGACAAGGAAAAGGGAAGACAAATTAAACAAAGTTGGTGGGGAAGTCTTCTGCAAATTTCTCAATGCCTCTGAACCAGCAGGGCCAATAGTGCCAGGGTAGCAGAGGCTGTATCTGTTGCTGAGTGTTGAAGGGCCTCAGAGTTCAGACAGAAACCCTTCCTCCCAGCCCCTGTCCCCTGAACCCCATGCACTGATGTCCTGGGTCTGGTCTTAGTTGTCCTGGAAGGCCTGGTAGATGAAGGGGGGCTTTAACTGGCTTAGAAAATATGTAGGAACCCCTGAGTGAGAGGCTGTGATAGAGGGTTTAAAAGATTTACTTGCACAAAGATAAATTAGGGCTGGATGAGGAGAGCAGGTGGGCTTGGCATTGGGGGCAATACTGTTCTACAGGTTGAGGGATGTGGGCCCTAGGAAGGGTAGGTTTCTGAGTGGGGGTTTCTTCTAGTGAGCAGGTCACAGACATATCCCTGAAGTGCTCAGCAGGCAAAGCTGACGGAATTGTTGCTCAAACCTTGGACAGAGAAAGGCTAGGGGTTATCCCTAGAGCAGTGTGCCACCAGGCTGTATTCCCCACCCTCATGCATCCCTGTGCTTTGTGCATCCTAGAGACACAGTATGACCAACTAGAAAGGGCCTTTGGAGTCAGGCCGACCTGGAATCCAGGTCCAGCTCGACCACCGAGAGCCGAGTGACATTTGGGAAATCACTTTTCTAAGCCTCGATTTCCTCATCTACAAAATGATGCTATAATGATAGCTACCTCAGGCTCTTGCGAGGATTAGAAGCATTTCATGTAAAGCGCCTAGTATATAGTAGATCCTTAATCGCAGTAGCTGTTATTTTTATTCATGCTATCACACTGGACCAAGCTGGCTGAATACATTGCTCAGTTCTGCCTTTGAGAGATTTGCCACCAGTTGGGACAAGAAACTGAAATCTAAGACTTTGTCTACCACCCTTTCACATACATTTGTCAAAGGCAGCCTGGCAGACAGACATGTAAAAACTGGCTCTGTTTCCCCTGCACACAATTCTCTCCTTTGCTGGTTTGTTCGGCACACAAAGAGAAGCACGTCACAAACCTTTTGGCTGGTAGTGATATATAGAAGACAGATTGAGACCGCATTGGAAGAGCAGGGGTTAAAATAAAGCTGTGAAATGCTGAATTAAAAAAAAAAGGCATCCCGCCTCTGTCCCCCAGCTCACCAACAGCATACTACTCTTGCTCCTTACTGTCATGTTTTATAGCTGTTCAAAGTGCTTTCCCATATTCGGTTTCATTTGCGCCTCACTCTGGACTGAGGTAAGTAGGGCAGATATACTTGGAGGGGCGAAGACAGTGACAGAGCTGGGACCAGAGCCCACGCCTCCTTGATATGGAACTGTGCAGGGCTGAGTCGCACCTCGGATGAGTGGGTTAAAAGGAATCTGTGAGGAAATGACATGCAGGTGTTGGAGAGAGCTGTTTGCGAGCGGAACGTGGTAGCAATACCAGCTTGCCGTCGGCGCCCAACAGAGAAGGGCACTGTGCCCACTGTGCTGAAGAGCAAACTTGAGGCCCACAGTAAGTGGAGGAGGACTTTCTGGAGCTTGGTGACACAAGAGTGGTTCTAGTTTCAAAAATGTCTCCCTTTTCAAGTCGTTTTAAATGACAGAAATGAAGACTTTGCCTGGGGTCATTCAGCTTGGGAGTGGCAGAGCCCCAAGAATTAAAACTTTGACTCAGGCCTCTAACTACAACTTCCCGGGTTTGAAATCAGCTCATTCAGCCCCCTGCTCTTTCTCTCAGGGTTGTTGAGAGGAACAACAGTGGAAAGGACAAATCAGTATGCAACGGCATTAAAAGAAGTAGTACCTAGAATTCACCTTTTCCGAATTTAATTGGCCTCCACATAATTAACCTGATGTGTTTGCACGCTCTACTTCATCTCTTGGAGCCAGTTTCCTTTGGAAAATGGAGATACCATATGCTGCCTGAGAGGTTGTGAGAATGAAATAAGTGTACGTGAAAGCGTTTTGCAGACCCTGAAGCAGTGTCTGAACGCTTTAAGGAGTGCTTGCTGCCGGGAGTCCACCTAGCCCAGCTCACTCTAGGACCCCGAAAGGCCTAGCTCTGGTGGGAGTAGAGAAGGAGGTGCTTTTTTGGTTTCTGGGCAGTCAGGCAGACAGGCCTGGGGGGGAAATGGAGGAAGATGGGGGCTTGCTCACTGCCTTGGTCTTCTTATCCCCCAGCTGAGGGGGCAGCGGCAGGGAGCTGGCATAACCTATTCTTTGGTGAGTCAGCTAAGAAGGAATTTCTAGAGTTCCAGTGATGTAGAAGTGGTGGTTTTAGTTTGGATTTTTAAAGCTGCTCCTTCTTTTAAGCGGCTTTAAGACACAACTAAAAGCACGAGCAATTGGGAAGCACGTGGAAAATGACAGAAGCATAGTGTCTTCCTAGTGTGAACTTGAGGAAATCACTCAGCTGCTCTGGGCCTGTTTTCTCATCTGCAAAATGGGGGTAATGCTACCTATTTTGCAGGGTCACTTGTGAGTATGAATAGTATGGGAAAGTGCCTGGCACAGACTGGAAAGAAGCCCAGTGCCTGTCCATTTCCTTACCCTTCTCAGCAGACAGGCTGTAGCCATTGAGCTCATACCAACAGAAAGCTCTTATTCTTCAGTTGCCTGGTTTATTATAATGGCTGCCATTATTCATTTAATTCGCACAACCCCAGGAGATGGCTCATCTACATACACTGAGGAAAAGGCAGTTCAGAGTTTTATTGCCCAAGGTCACACAGCTTGCAATTTTTAAAGTCAGGATTCAAACCCACCTTGTCTGGTTTGCCTCTTAGATAGCAGAATGTGAGGGAGTTTAATTAAGCTGAACCCTGTGGAATGCCCAACATTAAATGGACTCAGACTAAGGGGGTAACCCCAACCTGGCCCATTTTGGGAATGAACTCTGAGTGGAGTTTCAAGGAAATAGGCCATTGCTAGAGGCAGCCTGGCAACCATTAGAACAGAGCTGAAAATGTTTGCTTCCTAAATCCTTGGGGAATTTAATCTGTGCTCTACCAGTTTCAGGAGCTTATGTTGTGAGGGTGAGGCGCAGCCTTTATTAAGCAGTATACAAATATATCACTGGTAGTCTTCTGTCAGCTCCCACAAAACACAACCTCCTCCTCATCACCTGACAACCCTCCACTTACCGCCCTATAAACAAGAGGGAATGGAGTCTCCTTTTCAAACCCCTCTCCTAAGCTAGACTGCAGAAGCTAGACTAAGAGGGCTGAGTCATCTTCCTCTTAAAAGAAAACCTGTGTACCAAACCCATGGAACAAATGTTTTCTATGCAGATCATGTTTCAACACATGGCTGCTTTTATAGGATATCGACCAAAGAGCTAAGGACATTTTCTCTTTTCGCCAGGAAAGTAGATACCTTCCAGTGTCATGTGTGCTGTCTCCCTCCTCCACACCCAGTTAGCAGCAGGGTTGCAAGGACCTCACTAAGCAAATAACCACCGTGGTACATTTACCCAGGCCACCAGTTAGGATTGTGTCAGTTATCACACAGCACAGGCAAGGAGGGCCAAAATGGTCTATGGCACCAGTTTAAGAGCTAGGCTACAGCCTGAGGCTGCTCTGTACCCTAAGTGTTATGGCAAATGTTTCCACCAGAGTAAAGGCAGGATGACTCTTATAGCGCCTTCTCTGTATCTCTCATTTCTTAGCCAAGGCAAGGAGGGCTAGGTAGATAGAAGCAGGAAACGGACTCTAACCCTTTATGTTCCATTTACCTACAGCTCTTAATTTCTGAAAACACTGCTGTGTGGCAGGGAAGTCCTGGCTTTTGTGCTGTCCCTTTGTAGAGTGCTGGGTTATTTCACAGTGTGGGGTGTTGTTGCTTATGAGGCTTCCCACCTGTGCTGAGTAGGAAGGAGAAAGTCAGCGCAGCTCTGATGCTGGGCAATTCACTACCCAGATCCAAAGGAGATGACAAGGATCTCCCCATAAGCCTGGAAACCCACAGCTGAACCCCCTTTGCACTCCCCTCAAAAAAAACTCATACCCATATTTCTGCACAGCTCTTTAATGGAAGGGACTTTATTATTTTTTAAAGAGAATTCATACAGCCATTGATTATACAGAGCCATTTCTCAGTGCTCTTTTCTTTCCATTCAAGAAATCAGAATACACCATGATTAGGAAGATAATGCCAAAACAAGATTGCTAGTTCTTTAGGGTACAAATACACAGTTAATCACTTGCCACTTTATTGAACGCAAAGCAAGACTCAGCATTTCGGCTTTCGTTGTACACAGCTGAAGCAGGAGCCTCGGGAGGGGAAGACTGCATAGTTTTCCTTGGTGGGGAAGATGTGCGACCCGTAGTCTTGTCGTGCTGTGGGGAGATTACCCCATGTTCTGTCGGTTGCCATAGCCCCTAGGATGAGTGTCCTTCCAGTCGTCCCACTCCCGTGCTCTGTGAAGTGTTTGCTCATCGTCCTCTTCCTCCTTTTGTTCTTGATCTTCCTGGGCTGCTCTTTTTAATTCTGTTAAAGTAGAAAAATGAGAAAGAGAAGGGGTGAGAAATTGAAGGAATGTTAATAAGCAATATCAGGGGCCTTTGCTCCACTCTGAACACAACGGCATACAATGAAACTAGGAATATAGCTAACTGTCCACCCTGGGCCCAGTCAAAGTGGGGAGAATACTTACATTACTTAATATAGCACGTGCCAAGTAACAGTAAGAAAGGATGCTCTGGGCCGGCCCGGTGGCTCACTCGGGAGAGTGCGGTGCTGATAACACCAAGGCCGCGGGTTCGGATCCCATATAGGGATGGCCGGTTCGCTCACTGGCTGAGCATGGTGCTGACAACACCAAGTCAAGGGTTATGATCCCCTTACCGGTCATCTTTAAAAAAAAAAAAAAAAAAAAGAAAGGATGCTCTAAGTGGTTTCCACGAGAAGGCAAAAACATAAAAGGTGCCCCTCAGAATGAATTCTACTTTGGGAAAGAATTCTTGCTAGAATGGCCACCATCACCCCACCCCCAAAACAAAACCACCACTACCACCACCAAAAAACCTCAGTAATCCAAAAACACTGGAGTAAAAAAATATTGATTTTATGATTTGTGAATTGCCAAAGAGGTGGGATTACAGGTGACTTTTCCTCCTCCATCTATTACCTTTATTAGAGTTATATAATTTTGTGTGTGTGTGTGTGTGTAAAATTGAAAATCATGGGGCAGTTGGACCTACCAGAAAAGAATGACTATGTGTTATTTTGCATGTGCTTGGGACAGATTCTGAGGTCCAAATGGCACTTATCATACAGTGTACACTCAAAAGAAATTAGACCAACTGCTACATCTCTATTTTGCATTGTTTTTTTCCTTTGTGAGGCAAAGCAGCATTTTCCTGGTTACCTTGAGTTTGCCCATGAGAAATATTCTCATTACTATGATAAAGAATGAAATACATGGTAATCTGATCTCTTCTAACAGCTCAGGTGTTCTTTTCTTTCTTACCCCTTTATTGTAAAATAAAATATATTAGAAACCACACAAACACACACACACACGTTTTTATAGGGAGGCCTTATAGCCTCCATTCGGGTCAAGAAATAGATCTTCTGTACCCATTCCCAAAGCCTCTCCACGTGTATCAAACAAATCACACCCCCCCGAAAAGTAACCACCCTACTGCTTTTTATAGTAATAACTGCATACATTTCTTTATTATAGCTTTATCACCCAAGTGTGCATCCCAGACACCAAAGTCCATTCATACATTCATTTTTTACTCAGATTTTTAGTACAGAGTTACGCAACCATCACAATCCAATTTAAAAAATTCTATCACCCCAGAAAGATCCCTTGTGCCCATTTACAGTTAATTCCTGCTCCTTCCCACCCCCTAACCCCTGGAACGACTAATCTACTTTCTGTCTCTATAGATTTGCCTGTATCCAGACATTTCACATAAATGGAATCATGCGATATACGGTCTTTGTGTCTGACTCAGCATAATGTTTTAGAGGTTAGTCTTGCCTATTTAAAAAATATTTTGATATCTTTTTTAATCTACAGGTTCCCCCTCCATCCTTTTCTTACCTTGTAAATTATCTACTGAAGAAGCTGGGGCATTTGACCTGCAGAATTTCTCAAAGCCTGGACTTCGCTGACTGCATACTCATGATGCAGTCTAACATGTTCTATATTTCCTGCAGACTGGCCACTGGATACAGAGGCTTGATCTGACTAAGATTTGATCCCTTCAGCATGAGTATGGGTGGCGCTGTCTTCTTTCCTCAGTTGGCATATAGTATCTGTCTCATTTGTTGAGATGTTAGTAGCTGTTGATGCTCAATGCCTAGATTAATTTACTGAGGTTTCAAAAAGGTGATGCTCTTAATTTTAATATTTCTTTCCTATTAACTGGAATACTTTTATAAAGAGAGGATTCCCCTTACTACTTAATTACCCAGTAGGAAAGATGAGATAAATACTTGATTGTTTCCCTTTGTTTACCACTCAAGATAATAAATGGGTTCCCTATCATCCTCTTAAGTTGAACAATTTGTTTATGTCTTAAAAAATAATCATAAACTCAAGGATTTAAGCATATTTGACAGATTTCAACAAATTGCAATGATTTATAAAAAGTGTTTGAATAAACTTTTTAATTTCATAAGTTTTAGATATAGAGAAAAATTTGAGGAAGATAGTACAAAGAGTTTCCACATACCCGCATCTACTTTCCCTTACTGCTAGTATCTTACATTACTATGGTTTGTGTCACAACTAATGAACCAATACTGATACATTATTAGCAACTAAAGTCCATACTTCATTTGGATTTTCTTAGGTTTTATCTAATGTCCCTTTTTGGTTCCAGGATTCCATCTAGAATACCACACTACATTTAATTGTCTGTCTCCTTAAGTCTCCTCTGGGCTGTGACTGCTTCTCAGACTTGTTTTTGATGACCTGAACAGTTCTGAGGAGTACTTGCACTGAAGCATTTTGCAGAATGTCCCTCAATTTGGGGTTGCCTGTTTTTCTCATATTTAGACTAGGGTTATAGGTTTTGGAAAATACCACAGAAGTGAAGTGCCCTTCTCATCACATCATATCAAGGGTACATGCTGTCAACCTGACTTATCACTGATGATAACCTTTATCACCTGACCAAGGTAGTGTTTGTAGGGTTCCCAAGTGTAGAGTTACTCCTCCCCACTCCTTCCACACTGGAGTCTTTGGAAACAAGTCACTCAACGTAGCCCACACTTACGGGGTGAGGAATAATGCTCCACCCTCCTTGAACGAGGAATATTTACATAAAATACGTGAAATTTTTCTGTAAGGGAGATTTGTCTCTTCTCTCTCATTCATTTATTCAATCATTTATTTCTATCACTATGAACTCATGGGTATTTATTTATTCTATTCCTTGTGTTATAATCCAATACTATTATTTGCTTTCCTGCTCAGATTCTTCCAGTTTTGTCCAGTGAGAGTTCTTTCAGCTGGCTCTTGTGTCCTTTTAACACCCTAACTGTTTTGTTTTTTGCGTTGTTCTTTATTTTCTAGTACTACAAAATGCTCCAGGCTCATGTTGTACATTCTCTGCCCCAGCCCTAGAATCAGCCATTTCTCCAAGGAGCCCTGGTTCCTTTACTGGAGGATGGTATTGGAAACCAAGATATGGGTGCTAGATGTATTTGTTGTTACTGCCAATTATCCTTTTTGAAGCCAAATTGTCCGGTGGGAACATCTTCGAACTGGCTCCTGAGTCCTGATAACGACCCTAGTAGTCTTTGAAAGCTTCTTCCCTATCTTTTATGACAAGATGTTCCAAGCTCATATCGTACATTTCTTGACCCGGACTCGGAATTAGCTATTTCTCTAAGATATCCTGACTTCTTTTAATAGTAATGGTATTTCAATATTACAATCTGGGTTACTAGGTATACTAATTGCTACTGGGCTGGTCCCTGTTTCTAAGCCTTTTCAGTGGATAGAGCAAAGATAGGTGTGTGGATTTACTTTCAAATAAATTTCTCATGAGTTCATATTCAGGACTATGGGGTTTTTCTTTCTTTTCTTTTTATTTCAGCTAAACTCTTTTTAATTACATCTGTATTCCTTCACAGTGTAAGTCCTAGTTTTCAAAGATGGAGGATAGAATATTTCATAATTACTCATTTACATTACCTCACATTACAGTCTTAGAATAACTACTACTATTATTATTACTATAATAATAATAATGCTACTACTGCCACCAATATAATTACTGAGAACTGTTAAATGTTTTTTTTTTTTTTTTTTTTTTTTTTTTTT